AAAACAGCAAAGCGAAGTGAAAGAATCCCTAAGAAAGGAAAACTCGTTGTTTTTGCTTCCATATGCATAGCTGAAAGAGGAATAAGCTTTCTTTTCATGTGAAAAGGAATAAGCTTTCTTTTCATGTGAAAAGGATCTAGGAGTCTTGGTTGACCACAAACTTGACATGAGCCAACAGTGTGACGCGGCAGCTAAAAAAGCCAATGCATTCTGGGCTGCATCAATAGGAGTATAGCATCTAGATCAAGGGAAGTAATAGTGCCACTGTATTCTGCTCTGGTCAAACCTCACCTGGAGTACTGTGTCCAGTTCTGGGCACCACAGTTCAAGAAGGACACTGACAAACTGGAACGTGTCCAGAGGAGGGCAACCAAAATGGTCAAAGGCCTGGAAACGATGCCTTATGAGGAACGGCTAAGGGAGCTGGGCATGTTTAGCCTGGAGAAGAGAAGGTTAAGGGGTGATATGATAGCCATGTTCAAATATATAAAAGGATGTCACATAGAGGAGGGAGAAAGGTTGTTTTCTGCTGCTCCAGAGAAGCGGACACGGAGCAATGGATCCAAACTACAAGAAAGAAGATTCCACTTAAACATTAGGAAGAACTTCCTGACAGTAAGAGCTGTTCGACAGTGGAATTTGCTGCCAAGGAGTGTGGTGGAGTCTCCTTCTTTGGAGGTCTTTAAGCAGAGGCTTGACAACCATATGTCAGGAGTGCTCTGATGGTGTTTCCTGCTTGGCAGGGGGTTGGACTCGATGGCCCTTGTGGTCTCTTCCAACTCTATGATTCTATGATTCTATCTTTCTCTTGGTTTCAGGTTCTTTCACTGTGCACCCAAAAATCGCAAAGCAAAGGGAGAATCCCAAGCAAAGGAAAACTGGTTATGTTTTATTCCATCTGCATAGAAAGAACAAGCTTTATTTGGGTGTATTTCATGGTTTCTGGTTCTTTAGGTATGAATGCATATTCACCCAAAAAACACAAAGCGGTGAAAGAAGCCCAAACGAAACAAAGGAGGGTTTTAAACAGAGTTCTTTTGTTTCATAAAGAATCCCAAACAAATGAAAACTCATTGATTTTGCTTCTATTTGCATAGAAAAATACGAATAAGCTTTATTTGGATTGGTTTCGTGTTTTTTGGCTGTGCATGCAAATCCATCGAAAAATCCAAAAGGAAGTGAAATGTCCAGACAAAGCAAAAGCCGTTGTTTTGGTCATCTTGCAGAGAAAGATGACGAGTATGCTATTTCTTCTTTTCTTTGTTTTTGTTTGTTTGTTTGTTTGTTTGTTTTTGGGGGGGTTGGGTGCTGGAAAATTGGAAAAACGTGGTGTAAGGTCGAATAAGGGATGCAGGTGTGTGGGAATGTTCACGGATGCAGGAGAGGATATATTGTCTGATTATATCCTTATCCAACTTGTGTTAACAAGTTCCCCAAATTCAGCAGAGTAAAATATTCCCCTTTATTTTAAGTTTGCCACGGCAGCGTTTGCCCAGGCTCGCTTAAGCCTCTATAATAACTATTCTGGTAATTTCCCTTATTCCCTCATAAAATAGAAGAGACAACACAGTCTTTTACAAAAGTATAAAAAAGAGTTTACTCACATTCTGTTCACAATCAGATCCCAGAAGGCAGACTTAAGCTTAGTGAAGTAATATACATTTGGAGTCTATCTCTTAAGAAGACAGTCCCTTTGTCCTCTCTTGGCTGGGAGCCAAGAGGGCATCTTTCACTCAGTAGATGTTGTTCCTCCGATGCATGTGGTGAAAGAGAGAGAGATGGCTGCCCTGTCCTGTGCTTTTGTCATTACCTGCACAGGTGAGGCCACACCCACCTCTAGTCACATGTAGAGGAAGTCTGTCCCAGCCCAGAGGGAAACAGGAAGTTTATCTGCTGGTTGGACAAACATCCCTCCCCATGTCTAAACATGTACACTCTAGGAATGTTGTACTTGACTGCTCTTGTGTTTCACATCCCACAGGGTGGCGCTGTGGGTTAAACCACACAGCCTAGGACTTGTGGATCAGAAGGTCGGCGGTTTGAAAGCACGTCAAAGTGCAAGTAGATAAATAGGTACCGCTCCAGCGGGAAGGTAAACAGTGTTTCCGTGTGCTGCTCTGTTTTGCCAGAAGCGGCTTAGTCATGCTGGCCACGTGACCCGGAAGCTGTCTGCGGACAAACGCCAGCTCCCTCGGCCAATAAAGCGAGATGAACCCCGCAACCCCAGTTGGTCACGACTGGACCTAATGCTCAGGGGGTCCCTTTACCTTGACCTTTTTAAGGTCGAATAAGCTTTGTTTGGGCTTATGAACTTGGTTTCAGGTTTTTGGGTGCACAAAATGGAAAAGGAAGTCAAGTAAGGGCCAAAAAGCCAGACAGGTTCTTTTTGTTTCAATATGCAGAGAAAGAAGACGAATAAGTTTATTTGGGAAGATTTCACTTGGTTCTTTAGGTGTGCAAGCATTCAACCAAAAAACAGAAAGCAAAGTCCAAACAAAGCAAAATCCAAAATTCTTCTTTCTATGTAGATGGAACCCAGAACAACCTGTTTTGCTTTGTTTAGGCATATTACACTTCACTTTGCTGTTTGTGGGTGAATGAACATCAAAAGAACACGACTTGAAATAAGCGAAATCCAAGATTCTTCTTTCTATGTAGTTGGAACCCAAAACAACTTGTTTGGCTTTGTTTAGGCTTATTACACTTTGCTTTACTAGGGTTAGGTTTTGGGTTAGGGTGAATGAACACCGAAAGAACAATTCAAACTTATACGTCCTCTTTTTATTGAGATGGAACCAAAATACCTATTGTCAGGGGTTCAGGGAGAGAGGCACAGGGTAGGCAGGAGATGGAGAGCGATGGGGAGGAATTCCAAGCCAGCGAGGAAGAGGATGACAATGACTCAAGAGATTCCATGAGTCTTTCCAGCGAATCAGAGGATTCCCAGAAGGGGGCGCCGGTGGTCAAGGCCAGGGAGCCCCAGGGGGGAAGTGTCAGGAGCAGGGTGCCAGCGGAGGATCCCAAAGTGGCAGCTGGGCGTCAGGACCAGCCTCCCCACCAGAGTGCAGCGAAGGGGGTGGAGTTTCCAGTGTGTCAGAGGAAGCAGCTCCAGCAGCAGAGAAAGGAGGGGGGGTCAGAGCAAGCCGCCCTCCCGGAAGGGGAGGGGAGCAGTGAAGGGAGTAGTGTAACTGTCAAAAGGAAAGTTAGAGGTTTGGCGCGCGCGCCTAGTTCAAATGTAGAGGCGCGCGGAAGTGCAGGGAGCCCGGAGGAGGGGCCAGGTCCCAAAGCCCGCAGGAGGGGGAAGAGCAGTCTGATTCCGCGTCAGAGGAATCCAGGAGGGGCGAAACCCCAGTGGGCAGAAGGACCCTGCGGAAAAGGAAGGAGAGAAAGAGGTGGAGCAGCGCAAGTCTCTTAAATTGGTGCAGGGGAGGGACTGACTCAGAGGGGACTTCAGCGGTCTAGCGTAAGAGACGTAAGGCTGCGCGCCTAGGATGTCAAGCAAACCATGAACTGCAATAAACACTTTTGTATATAAGAAGACATAGGCGTTGGTCTTTTGTGAGCTAAGACTTGAGGCAGCCTTGACAGTAAGTCCCCTCTCACTACAAAAAACCGGAAATTTTTTTTTTTTTTTTTTGCACAGCTCACGAAGTTTGGCAGCAATGACTACTGAGGAGCAGATAGCGTCCCTGCAAAACGCAGTCACCGAGCTCTCCACTGCTGTCGTGGTTTCTCAGAAGACAGTTGCTGAAGCAGAAGCGCGATGCCAGGATCTGCAAGCCAGGTGGGATCGGGCGTGCAGAGAGGGGTTCCCGGGTCCAGATCAGAGGGAATCGGACTCGGACGGAGGGGGGGCAATTTAGTAGCCCACTTCGATGGGAACCTGAAGCATTATCCCAATTTCAGAGCAGACGTCGTATACGCGCTGCATTTGCTTCGAAAAGACTTCAAAGATGAGGAGGAAAAAGTGGGGTTTATTGTGTCTCATCTGCATGGGGAAGCAAGAAACTGGTTACGCAATTTGTGGCGCGAAGATGGTCTTGCACGCAGGGACTCTGATGAATTTCTCAAAGCCATGGACGCTTGCTTCCAATCTACTGTTGACGTTGATGTGGCACGCCAGGAGATGCATGGATTGCGGCAGGGCAAGGCTACAGTGCGTCAGTACCATTCTCGCTTTTTTGCATTGCTGAATGTGCTGGGCTGGGAAAAGGACTCCCTGGCAGTGAGGGACTTGTTTTGGGAAGGGCTTCATGGCTCAGTGAAAGATGAGCTGGCTAGGGAGACAGACCTCAAACCCTAGCAGAAGTCGTGCAGAGGGCACTCACGATAGGGGTGCGCCAAGAAGAACGCCCTTGGCACAGGGAGGAGGGGCGTCACGTCCGCCCACCAGCTAGAGCGCCTCCTTTTCCTTCCAGGGACTTGGAACGTTCAAGCCTTTCGCCTGTGCTGGCAGCGGGGGAAGAACCGATGGAACTGGGTGGTGCAAAGGCTCAGACAGCTGCCGGAGCCTCAGCGTCAGGAGCAGTCAAAGCGAAGCCTCCTAGAGGGACCAGGAAGTGTTACATCTGTGACAGTGCACGGCACATGGCTAAAGAGTGTCCCCAGAGGCTCCAGAAGCACACTGCAGCCTTAGCAACAGTAACAGGGGAAGCTTTCCAAGGGGAGCAGTTTCAGGGAAACGAGAATGCCTGGTTGGAGGGAGAGACGCTGGGGCTCCGCCAGGCAAGTCAGTGAAGCAGTCCCCAGCGCTTTTGCAGCCTACAGACCCCTTACCACCTAAGCCAGTGGTGCAGCTCACTGCTACTCTCCAGCTGCCTAATGGACTCACCCTGGAAGTCCCCATTACGATTGACTCAGGGAGCAACGCAGACTTCGTGGGGGTGCAGTTCGTCAAGCAGCATCGCATAGCGCTACTACCAGCCACGCTGCCTCTGAATGTGGTCACTGTAGATGGCAGGAAGTTGCTGGGTGGGCAAGTGGTACAACAGACGCCACCCATGCTGCTGAAAATTGGGAATCATCGCGAGGTCATCAGTTTCAATGTCACCCAACTGTCAGACACGCCCATAGTGTTAGGCATGAGTTGGCTGGATAGACACAGCCCATCCTTGGCGTGGTACCAGCGGCAGCTCACCTTTGGCTCGTCCTACTGTGCACAACATTGCATCCAGATCGGCCAGGACGAGGAGGGCCAGGAGGAAGGGCAACAGCTGCATCTAGGCATGGTGCAGGCAGTGCCCCACAAGTACAAGGGGTTTTTGGAGGTCTTCTGCGAGAAGGAAGCTGACCAATTACCACCCCACCGGCCCTACGACTGTGCAATTGACCTCTTACCAGGGGCGACGCTGCCGACTGCGAAGCTGTATTCCATGTCTGAAGATGAGATGCAGGAGCTCAGGGAGTTCATAGATCACAATTTGAAGCGGGGATTCATCCGAGAATCCAAGGCAGTGGGGGCAGTCCTGTGTTTTTCGTGAAGAAGAAGGACACGCCCCAAAAACGGCTCATTGTGGACTATAGGGCCATAAACTCGATGACAAAACCCAAGGCTTTCCCCATGCCCAAGATTGACGACCTGCTCGCGACGGTGAGGAAGGGGAGGATCTTCACCAAGTTGGATCTACGCGGAGCCTACAATCTGATACGCATGAGGGAAGGTGACGAGTGGAAGACGGCCATGTTCACACCGCTGGGCACCTATGAATACAGAGTTATGCCGTTTGGTCTCCAAAATGGCTCTCACTGTTTCCAAGCATTCATGCACCACGTGCTAGCAGGACTCCTCTACAAGAAGTGCGTATGCTTTCTCGACGATATTCTGATCTTCTCAGAATCGCAGGAGACTCACGAAAGAGACGTAAAGGAGGTCTTGCAGAGGCTACGGGAGCACAGACTCTATGCCAAGCTGGAGAAGTGCCAGTTCGACGTGACGGAGGTGGATTTCCTGGGCTACCGGCTGTCCGACAAGGGATTAGCCATGGACAGCGCCAAGGTCCGCGCGGTGTTGGACTGGAATAGCCCGCGCAATCGGAAGGAGGTCCAGAGGTCTCGTCGGCTTCGCCAACTTTTACCGAATGTACACCAGGGGTTTCGGGAATGAGACGGATGCTTTCACGGAAACCATCAGTCCAAAGAACAAAAGTTCACCTGGACGGACCAGGCGGAGCAGTCCTTCAGGAGACTTAAGAGTCTCTTCGCGTCCGAAGACCAGCTGCTACACGTGAATCCCGGCAGGCCCATGCGGGTTGAGACTGACGCATCTGACAGAGCAGTGGGGGCCGTCCTCTTGCAGGAAGATTCGCAAGAGAACTGGAGGCCCTGCGCTTTCTATTCCCGGAAGCTCAGCAAGTCGGAACAGAACTACACCATCTGGGACAGGGAGTTGCTGGCCATCCACGCGGCTTTCAAGGCGTGGCGGCACTTCCTCATCGGAGCCAAGCACACCGTGCAGGTCCGCACGGACCACAAGAACCTAGAGTATTGGCGCACGGCGAAGCTCCAGAGCCAGAGGCACATGAGATGGGCGGAGTTCTTTGCGGATTTCGATTTCCGGATAGAGTATATCCCGGGAGACAACAACGTCATAGCGGATGCGCTCTCCAGGAAACCGCAGTATCTTGAGGAAGCGGCACCAGTGGCAGCCAGGCACATTTTTGCACCGCAAGCGTGGGCGTGCGCTTCTGCCGCCGTGGACCTGGACGCGGTACGACGCGCGTTACAGACGGATCCGTTTGCACAATCCAAGATGGAGGAGGTGCGAAGAGGGACAGCAAAGGACGGCGAATTCCAGATACGCGACGGCCTGCTGACCCGCAAAGGTGCTCTCTACGTCCCGGGAGACGATCTCCGAGCGAAGGTTTTACAGCAGTTACACGACGCCCCCAGCGCGGGTCACTTCGGCAAGGAGAAGACGGCGGACTTAGTAGCCAGGGACTTTTGGTGGCCCCAGATGCGGGGAGAAGTCGCGGATTACGTCGCCAGGTGTGACACTTGTCAGAGGTCCAAGCCAGTGCACAAGAAGCCAGCGGGATTGCTGGAACCGTTGGAGACGCCACTGCAGCCGTGGGAAAGGGTGGCGCTGGACTTTGTCACTGATCTGCCCAGTTCGCGGGGCAAGACGGCGGTGCTTGTGGTTGTAGATCTGTTCACCAAGATGGCGCATTTCATTCCTTGCGCGAAGGTGGCAACAGCGGAGCAGACCGCCAGGCTATTCATAGACCACGTGTTCCGGGTGCACGGCTTACCACGGTCCATTTTGTCCGACCGGGGTCGCCAATTCATTTCCAGTTTCTGGCAGAAGCTCCTGGGCATCCTGAATGTCAAGATCAACTTAGCGTCGGCGAGACACCCGCAAACCAACGGCCAAGCGGAGAGGGTCAACGCCATCATGCAGCAGTACCTGCGCTGTTACGCCAATCAGAAGCCGGCAACTTGGGTGGACTACTTACCGATGGCCGAGTTTGCCTACAACAACACGAAGCACGCGTCAACGGGGTAGACACCGTTCTTCGCCAACAATGGGCGACATCCCAGAACATTCCCGGCGTTGGAGACGACGACGCAGGGGGAGTCGCAGGGAGCGGAACATTTAGCAGCAGAATTGCAGGAGGTCCACGAGGAGCTACGACGGCACTTGGAACTGGCTAAACACGCCTACAAAGTGCAGGCAGACAGGCACAGGAGGGCAGGAGAAGACATCCAGGTGGGGGACTGGGTATGGTTAGCAGCCCAGGCGGTGCCGGCCAAGTCGTTAGCTAAGAAGAAGCTAGGACACAAACAGCTAGGGCCATACCAAGTTGAGGGCAGGATCAATCCCGTAGCTTTTCGGTTGACCCTCCCAGAGGATTCCCGAATGCACCCGGTCTTTCATAGGTCGGTGCTTACACCCTACAAGGCCCCACACAGATTTCAGGAGCCAGGGACGGCACCAGACCCACGTAGGAAGTCACCAGGGGGGGGGAAGTCACCGAGGACCCCGACACTCAACGAGGTCACGGAAATTCTGGACTCGAGATGGGGGGAGGAGGGAGTGGAATACCTCCTCGCCAGGGAAGGTACCCCGGCCAGCGCCAACAGTTGGGTGCCAGATTATGCTCTGGAGGAACCTTTGCTTAAGGACGAGTTCCATGCACTCTTCCCACACAGGCCCATGCCAGAGGAGTATTTTGACGACTGGCTTTTACCCCACACTTTCAGGCAGCACCTTCCGGGGTTCTCCTCCGCAGAGGAGACCACGCCGCAATCGAGCCCTCCAAGGGGATCGTGCTCGGGGTGGACACGGACCGCTCTTATTGGTGGGACGATCAACCAGAAGTGGGGTGGCGAAGGGGGCCTTGGCAAGCAGCTTCGCCTGAAGTAACAGGGGGAGGGAAGGGTTTGGAGGGGTTGGGGGAGGACCCCGGTTTCGAGCACTCCTACACTGAACTGGAAGCAGAGGAGATCGACCTCGACGAACTGTATCCAGCATCTCACCCCGCTACAACGAAGCTCCCGGAACCTGCGCCCGAGCAGCGGGAGGGGGGACGGGGGCTTCGAGGGGGATGGATGTCAGGGGTTCAGGGAGAGAGGCACAGGGTAGGCAGGAGATGGAGAGCGATGGGGAGGAATTCCAAGCCAGCGAGGAAGAGGATGACAATGACTCAAGAGATTCCATGAGTCTTTCCAGCGAATCAGAGGATTCCCAGAAGGGGGCGCCGGTGGTCAAGGCCAGGGAGCCCCAGGGGGGAAGTGTCAGGAGCAGGGTGCCAGCGGAGGATCCCAAAGTGGCAGCTGGGCGTCAGGACCAGCCTCCCCACCAGAGTGCAGCGAAGGGGGTGGAGTTTCCAGTGTGTCAGAGGAAGCAGCTCCAGCAGCAGAGAAAGGAGGGGGGGTCAGAGCAAGCCGCCCTCCCGGAAGGGGAGGGGAGCAGTGAAGGGAGTAGTGTAACTGTCAAAAGGAAAGTTAGAGGTTTGGCGCGCGCGCCTAGTTCAAATGTAGAGGCGCGCGGAAGTGCAGGGAGCCCGGAGGAGGGGCCAGGTCCCAAAGCCCGCAGGAGTGGGGAAGAGCAGTCTGATTCCGCGTCAGAGGAATCCAGGAGGGGCGAAACCCCAGTGGGCAGAAGGACCCTGCGGAAAAGGAAGGAGAGAAAGAGGTGGAGCAGCGCAAGTCTCTTAAATTGGTGCAGGGGAGGGACTGACTCAGAGGGGACTTCAGCGGTCTAGCGTAAGAGACGTAAGGCTGCGCGCCTAGGATGTCAAGCAAACCATGAACTGCAATAAACACCTTTGTATATAAGAAGACATAGGCGTTGGTCTTTTGTGAGCTAAGACTTGAGGCAGCCTTGACACCTATGCTTGATTTGGGCTGATAACCAACATTTCACTCTGCAATTTTTGGGTGAATGTGCATTCTAACCCCAAAAACACCAATTTGAAATTACCCCAACCAGAGCTTTATCATCTTCGTTTTATGTAGATGGAAGCCCAAAACCTTTCTGCTTTGGTTGGGGGTGATTCTGGTGCACCCCCAAAAAATACCATGCAAATTGAAATAAGCCCAATCAAAGCTTATTTGTCGTCTTTCTTCGCATATGGAAGCGAAAAGACGAAATTGTGTAATTTTGGTCTCATTACACACATTAACATTACACACATATAATGTGCATTAACAGCAAAGAACACGACTTGAAATAAGCGAAATCCAAGTGTCAAGGCTGCCTCAGGTCTCAGCTCACAAAAGACCAACGCCAATCTCTTCTTATATACAAAAGTGTTTATTGCAGTTCATTGTTTGCTTCATATCCGAGGCGCGCAGCCCCACGTCTGTGTGTGTAATGAGACCAAAATAACACAACACCGTCTTTTCGCTTCCATATGCGTAGAAAGACGACGAATAAGCTTTGATTGGGCTTATTTCAATTCACATGGTGTTTTTGGGTGTGCATTAACAGCAAAGAACACGACTTGAAATAAGCGAAATCCAAGATTCTTCGTTCTATGTAGCTGGAAATCAAAACAACCAAAGAACACAAAATAAGCGAAATCCAAGATTCTTCTTTTTATGTAGCTGGAAATCAAAACAACCTGTTTGGCTTTGTTTTGGCTTATTGCAGTTCGCGTTGCTATTTGTGGGTGAATAAACACCGAAAGAACAATCCAAGCTTATTTGTCCTCTTTCTATTGAGATTGAACACCAAAGAAAACGACTTGAAATAAGCGAAATCCAAGATTCTTCGTTCTATGTAGCTGGAACTCGAAACAACCAGTC